AAGGAGCGCTCTCTCTCTCTCTCTCTCTCTCTCTCTCTCTCTCTCTCTCTCTCTCTCTCACACACACACACACACACACACACACACACAAACAGAGAGACAGAGAGACAGAGAGAGATCCCAATCTGAGCAAGGTGTATCAGAAATAGAAGTCAGGGCCCACTGTGGTGATGTTTGACTCTAACCCTAGCACTTGGGAGGTGAATTCAAGGCCGGCTCGGTTACTACATAGCAGGTTCCAGGACTACACAGCGAGACCCTATTGTTGGCGCATTTTTTGTGCTACTTTGCTGGCTTCTTATGTCCATCACCCTTCCAACCTTTATTCTACCCTGATCTCTTTCTGAACCCCCAACATTAGGTAGGAGAGAAAGAAGGTGAGAGGGAAAGGGGGATGTAGACCTCTTTAGAATATTTCCTGCTGATTGGGGCATTGGGTTCCTTGGGACAAGTTATGTCTTCGCTGTGAGGATATACAATTTCTCGTCTCTCTTCTTTGCATTTGACAAACTGCAAGAGCAGCAGCAGCAGCAGCCACCAAGTCCTTCTTGGGGCTATCCCATTTATACCCTCTCCAGTGTCCCCAGAATTAAGCTATCTGCTGCTGGCAAAGGTCACGCCCCTCCTAGAGCACAAGGCAAATCATAATCACCTGCTGTGAAGCAGCCTCTTCTCCCATGCCTGAGATTAAAACAAAAACATGTTCACATAACATAACTTTTTTTTTTTAAAAAAAACAAAAATCTCACTACACCCTATAAAAAAAAAAAAAAAAAAAAAAAAAAAAGAAGGAGTTGGGATGGGGGAAACGTGCCTGTGTATGGAGGAGATATCATTTACTAGGCCGTGGTGGGTATCATTTTCAGCAGGACCAGATGTGCTGGTGTGAATACTCTCCTCAGTTGTTAGGTGCAGGCACTGCAGTGAAATCTTCCCTGCATAAACTGAACACACCACATGGCATTGTGTGTGTGTGTGTGTGTGTGTGTGTTTCCTAGAGTGGCTTCTTTCCTTCCCTCAGACTCTGCTTCAGAGAAATGTCCAGCTTTTCACTGGTTCCCAGCAGCATTTAGTCCCTCTCAGTCTCTTGTTATCTTAGGAGGCACCAAGGGTATTGAATGGACAGCTTGGGGACATAAGCTTTCTCTTCAACACACATGACCCATGCATGTTCTTCATTAAACTTCCTAAAGAATTGCAAACAAATTCATCATAATAAGAACACACTAGCATTCTCTGCAAATGAGGGATGTGTCTGTGTGTGTGTTCTCAGATCTTGTTATATAAAGATCAACACCTGGGGAGCTTGTTGCAGTGTAGGTACTGATTCAGGACTGGTTTGAGGCTCAAAAGCCCCGACTTTTACTTTACAAGTTCCCAGGTGATGCCAAAGCTGTTCTTGGGAAATGACAATTTGCTCAAGGTGGTTTTAGGCAGCCCTTTCTCTTTCTCTCAGCCAGCTGAGCTTAGGAGGAGGGCCCCAAAGCTTTAGGTTTCTGTTATTCTTTGCCCCCACTCATACCCCATCCTTTGTCTGACACACACACACACACACACACACACACACACACACACACAGAGAGAGAGAGAGAGAGAGAGAGAGAGAGAGAGAGAGAGAGAGAGA